AGAGCGGTCGCTGCTAGCAGGAGAACGCTGCCTGTCCCGTGCAGTCGCTGAGATGCCTTTGCTGTTCTCTGTGCCGTAATTCTCGTAAGCTTAGCCAGGCATTTAGGAATAGAAAATTTTTTATTAAGCTGCTCAGTATTTACTGCTCTTTCCCCTTTCACTTTCTAATTTCCAAACAAATCTGATGATGATACTCTCAGTGTCTGTATCAGTGGGACTTTAAAGCACACGAAATTTCCTATTTAAATTAAATCAGATCTATTTTCAGGTATTTTTTTCCTGGAACTGCTGTATGTGATCATGCATGAAGACAGGCTGTTGTGCTTTCAGGCCGTCTTTGCTGGAGAAGCGTGGGTAACCCCTGTTGGTTACAGGCTTCTAGGCTTGTCCGAGACAGCTTATTTCTCTGTGTTGCTGTATAGTAAACAGTATACTGTCCTGTAAAATGTCATAGGAGTCAATCATCTATTAGAGGAGCAGGTGATATTTAAGATGTAGGAGTTATTAAAGAATGGTAAAAAAAGTGCATCATCAACTGATTTACAAACTGGTATTAATGGAAGAATGTGGTTTATTTTTCTGTCTTCAATGTGCTTTGTAGGTTTTACTTCATCGGCTTGCAAACTTTCAGCGAGTGTGGAGTTTGCCTCCAAATGAAAATACAGGAAAAGAAGTTACTGCTCTTGCTTGGAGACCAGATGGCAAAAGTAATGTCAAGTATATGAGGTGATACGGTGCAATAAAAATCCCATTGGAAATCAGTGAAGGTTGTGGTGATGATACCTCTTATCTGTGAAAGAAATTTTCAAGTAAACTGTGTTTGAAGAGAAGTGTGGCTTAATTTTATGTAGGTTTATTCAAAGTAATAGAGAGAGTTACACTGTTGAAAGCAATTGCAAGAAAGATTTGCAAGGTGGATTTATGTCCAAAATACTGCACTTCAAGGTATAGCAAAACTTCCAGTTCCTAACTAAGAGAATATTTTTATAGGAATGACAAGATTTATTGTGTGAGTCGAGAGAGAGGCTGTGTGATCAGGGTTTACTGAAGAGCTTAGCTTATTTAGCATAGACTGAAATTTAGAGGCTAAAATTGCTCTAATAATACACCAGAGAAGAAAAAAAAAAAAACCTTTTCCTTATCAACAGAGATAATGTTGAAATTAGTAGCTTAATAAGCCTAAGGTGGAAATTAGTTAATTTTTTGACTCATTAGAGGCTGGAGAATGGGAACAATCTTCTTCCATGACATGTGGGTAAAAAATACCTATATAGTTTTATGATGGAGTCAGAGGAGTTGAAGAAACTTCTTTTTAAGCTGGTTGCCTGTGATTACAAGGAAGTAAGCATAGAAGCCTTTGCCTTCCATATGCTTTAAGGATTAATAAAGTTAAGAAGCAGGTGATGCAAAAGTTGCTCAGCAAGTCTTAAATTGTATTTTGTTGTAATAAAACCCAAACCTTCCCAGTGGACAGTCTTTATTTATAATTTTGGCCTCAAATTTGCAAAAACTGAAGCCTCTGCTTTATCAGAACTGTTGTTAGAAGTGTGCTCGGTTCAACGTGTAGATAAATAATTGTGGGATCGTGCCTGTGATTTACATTTATCACCTAAAATATGACAGGAGTTCAAACCTTCATTTTAATGAGTAGGTTTCAAATGAGAATTTGGAAGGACTGTAAATAGGCAAACAGAAAATCCTGTCCAGTAGTTGGCTTTGAAGATGCATTATTTTCTAATTTAGTATAAAGTAACTACAAAGTTTTGCACGTTGGTTGTTTATACATTTTACTCATCTTTCTCCAGTTTTGGCTTTTGGCCTTACTGATACCAAGCGGATTGTTCTGTGTGACGTAGAAAAACCTGAAAGCTTGCACTCCTTCTCCGTGGACTCATCTATTACTTACATGCATTGGATGGAAGTAACTGAGGAAAGCAGGTGAGTCTGAAAAACTCTAGAAGTGAATTATGGGCTAGGTAGTGCCACTTGACTAATAATTTATACTTAGTATGTTACAAGCAGTCATTATAAAATAATATAATATTATGTAGCTATAGCTTTTTGTTACCACTTGGGTAAAATTTTCCTTTTGGTTAGAATAGACACTTTTCATATGCTTCTTTTTAGCGCTGATATCTTAGTCTTGTGGTTCTTTAGGTTATACACAAAAATTTCAGCGTGATCTTGAGCGCCCACTTCTTAAGAGCTGCTTAATCTAGTATTAGCTTGTACAGCCCGTCTTCTGATCTAGTTTACTTCAGTACCAATTAATTTGTTAAACTAATTATAATGCTATTATTATGTTAGTCTATTTTGTTAGTCAGAATAAGTATTATATTTAAATCTTTCTTCACTTGTGTTTTCAAGATGTTTAGTTTGGTGCTTACATCTTTCACGATGTGCCTTTGGTGTTATATCCAACCCCAGTGGCAATTCTGTTGTGGGTGTACTTGCTTCAGGAAGTCAGATTGCCCCTAGTGACCATGAGCTCTGTGGCATTAGGCAATTCTCAGCAACACTTGTGAGCTGGAGGACATCGTGGTCCCTATTTCTGTGGACTTACAAAAACCTCTGATATGCGCCTTATTGCAGTGCAAGACAACAATTAAATAAAACAATTATTTAAAAAAGGGAGGTGGTGTAAGCCTGACTTGGGGATTCCCCCCCACCTCCAGAAAACACCAATCTTAAAATAGCAAGAAAATAACTACATCTTAAATCACTCTAGCATTTTTCTCCTGATGGGGATAGACTTATCTCCTTATTGGGAATCTCATTCTTCTGGCATGTCTAAGGTGTGGTATTAAGTATTGCACTTTAGTCTTCCTCTCACTGTAACGTGTCTTTAGAGTGAAACTTTTTTGAGGTGTAGGTAGGTTGTACTGCAGGGTTGTACAGGGTTTAAACAGAAAGCCTCAGTCAGTAACTGCGTTACAGGTGATGAGGAATTTGGTAGCAAGCTACTGAGCCAGCAGATACAAACTTTATATTCTCTTTTGGTGGAAATAAAAAAAGATTATCAGACTTCTTTTATTAATTTGCTCATTTGATAAATTATTAAAGGTCCCGTAAGGGATTACCCTCTGATATTTGTAACTCTTTAATATACATGATGTATTGAATATATGCTGTAACTTTGAAGTTAGAAAGAAATTCTTTTTCTCCCCCCCCATTTTTACAGCTTGGGTGGTAAAGACAGCCTTATTTCTTTTTCAGTGTTCTCACTTCTTTTTACAATGCTGAGGATGAATCAAATCTCCTTTTGCCTAAATTACCGGCGCTACCAAAAAAGTAAGTATTATACTGGTAAGCTTTAGAAGATACGATCCATCATTTGTTGTCATTGTTTTGGTTACTCAACTTTAATGCTCTACAGATGCTTTGGATTAGATGTCTGCTCATTGTTATTGAGAATAATTATTTTGTTTTCAGTTACAGTACCACTGCAAAAATTTTCAGGTAAGAAATTGTCATCTTATCTCTCTTTTTTTTTTTTTATTTTGTTTTCTGGTATTGAGACAAGCTACATAAACCCCAACTATGTGTTTTGTATTTTCAGTGAAGAAAAATCAGATGAGATTATGAAGCTTCTGGGTGATGTAAGGTAAATTCCCTATGTGGGTTGTTGTGGGGTTGGCTGGGTTTTTTTGGTTAGTTGGGGGGTTTTTTTTAAAGCTATAAAATAATGGGGAAGTGGGTTTACTTTTAAGTTATTCATAATCTGTTTTTAGGGGTCCTGGAGAAAGGATATGGAATGCCTCTTTTTTTCATGTACAAAGATAAAGTTCAAAGAATATATTAAAAAAAGTCTCCATCAGCTTACACCTTTTCTCCTCAATTTAGAGGGATTATAAAGCGCTTTATCAGCAACTGCTGTTGATGCCGTATCTTCTTTTCCTCAGAAGAAGACTTCTTGGGGTGTATTTGAAGGCTATGTTGTATGTGTTACTTAAGCTGGTCTTGGAGACGTTTGTGAGTGCTTGTTACAGATGGGGAATTTCTGTGGGTTTGCATGAATGTGACAAAGCTAAACTTAAAATTAGCTCTGAAATCAGCTGTATTAGAGTTACTTTAAAATAAATATCTTATTAGGAAACACATGAGGAGCAGCTGGAGGAAGTGTAGTTTAGCAGACGGAGACTGGCTTTGTGGAGTGCTTGTGGTGCATCTTTGAGGAGGGCGCTTAACCTCTGTGCCTTGTTTTTCCATTTGCTTTCTTTCACTGTTCCTTACAGTCCCACCACTGAGAATCATCCTCCTTATTTCAAAATTTGCATCTCTGTCTATCACCAGTTATTCCTTTTTAAGACTTGATATCTCTTCTTACAGTAGGGCTTCCTTGCTAGAAAGAGAGACGTGGCGGCTGTTGGTGGTGTAGGAGCTTTCTGGATGCTGTGCTCCTTCACCCATTCAATTAATCAAACCACAAGTTTTTCAGATACTGTTTTGTTAAGTTCTGTCTTGATTTTAATGGAAACATTCTCCTCTAACATATATTTAGGTGTGTAACAGGCAGAAGTTGCAGTTAATTTTCTCGTATTTATAAGGGGACATGCAAAACATGCTCATTTTTTATGTTGGAGAGCATTACTGCTCACTGTAATGTAAGAAAATATGGGTAGTTGAAGACGTACGGATGTATGACAGCAATATACCACCTCCCTGTCCAAAGTTTAATGTTTTAAACATAGACAAAAAGGGAGCGGTCATAGAGAAGCTTTTTCCCAAGTCATTGTAGCAGGTTGGTTTTGATAAGTGAGCAAAACGCAGATCTGTCTGTCCCAGACCCTACTCTTTGAACCGGGTTTCTGTTTCTGATGTTGCTGTTACTTGTGGCTGTCCTTTGCTGCTGCGTCCATTTCAAATGTTTATTGCCTTCGAGGTTTTGCTGAGGAGTGCCGCTGAGTGACTGCAACAAACTTACTCTGCATGTAGTTTGTATAAACTGAGAGGAATACAAAAGTAGCTTTGTAAGAATGCCTTGCAGCCTGTATTGGTAGGTGGACTGTTGCTAGAAACTGTTACTTTTTTCTCCTAGAAGGTATGAAGTTAGTGAAGGAGGACTGCTGTGCCAAAATTGTGTTATATTTTCCCTATTCTCTCAGTTAATTTAGTAATTAATGCTTTTTCTGTAAATGCTAGAGGCAGGTCTTATCAATGAAATCCAAGCTAATAATTTTTTTGTTTTTAAATTTCTTGGATCGTAGACAGTAGTACAGTGTTTCTTTTTGTTCAGTCATTCTTTAGAGGATCTTTAGTAAATGGATGGCATTTAAGTATTAAGAATTATATTTGTATGCATTAGAACTTGTTCCAGCATGTTCATCAACACATATTCTTCTATTTTTATAGGCTTAATGCTCTTGTCCTTGGTGGCAGCTCAGGATTTATTGAGATTTATGCTTATGGAATGTTCAAGATTGCTACAGTAACTGGGGTACGTTCTGTTCCTTTCCATGTTTTTTCTTCGTAATATACCAATTGAATTGAATGAAAAAATACATATGTGTGCTTACACATAAGTGAAACTGGGTTGTTGAAGTTTAAAGAAAGGAATAGTAGTTTTTCTTAATTGGGTTGTGTGGTTATTGTTGGAAAGACATTCGAACTCTGGTGATTTTAGCATCTTGTTTCAAATGAAATAAAGTTCAACATTAGTCCACAGTAAAAAGAGTGCTTTTGTTCCTGAACAAAATTCCACTTTGCTGAAAATTCCACTTTGTTTTTACATGTCGTTGAACACAGCCTTCTTTTATATGTGAATGTGTTAAAGCAGTAAATACATCTTAGCAGAAATGCAAAATTTCATTAATTTTTAAACTGGAATCCTTCAGGTGGCAGGTTCTTGTCGTGGACTATGTTTATCTAGTGATTTGAAATCACTATCAGTTATTACAGAGATACGAGACTCTTCAGACAGCGAAGCAGAGATAACATATTTTCAGGCAAGTAAAGTAATTTTAAAATGTTCTTTTAAAAGTAAACCTGCTTTTTTAATTACTTTCTGGTAGTTTTATTGCTTTCCCATTATTTGCGGAAAATACAGCCTTTCTGAAGTTCACCCTGATTTAGCTTTTGGATTTATCATGTTAACATGCAATTTCACTGATAAGACTGATGATGATGATCTTGAGGCATTCTTTTAAAATATATTCTTTAAAAAGAATATATTTTAAAAGAAAAAAAAATTCTTTAAATATAATATTCATTTTTTCAACTACAGTTACAGTTACTCAGTTTTTCTTCATTCTGCACACAAAGGCATAGGAGCGATGCTGTTGATTATCCAGTCTATCCAGAACAGTCATCCTTAAAACTATTACTGTTAGAACTCCAGAATGAGGAACTTCATCAGGAGTTTTTATAGATGTAATAAAAATATTTATTGCCCCTTTGAATTAAATGCATTTTCCTCTTAAAATCAACTTTAAGGAAATGAGAATTGACAGTTTTTCTGTGAGTCCTCCCCATCTGTCTTTTCATTTCTGTAATCTAAAATTTCTTAAAAGAAAAATCATTCGTTAACTGTTGCTTGTTTCATTTTTTATAGCTGGACACTAGTCTATTATCAAGTTACTTACCTGAGGTAACTCGAATGGCCCGGAAGTTTACTCACATTTCAACTCTGTTACAGGTACAGTTGTGTTACGACATCTTTTTAATACCACAGTTCTTACAGGCTTCGATATTCTTAACGCAAGTAAAATAAATGTTTTCTAGTAGGAAGCTAAAGTTGGTTTTAAGTAAATGTAGAGCTCTAACTTGGAATTTGATAATAAATTTTGTATAATATCTACAGTATATCTTCCCTTTGTATTGTAACATCCAGTTCTTGCATGTGTTTTGAAGCGGGGGGAAGGGAATAATGCTAATGTCTGTATCTGTATTACAGTATATAAAGTTGTCATTGACGTGCATGTGTGAAGCATGGGAAGAAATATTGATGCAGATGGACTCACGGCTAACAAAGTTCGTCCAGGTACTGTAGTATTAACCATTCTTTTGGAAAAACATTTTTTTCAATAGTCCTGCTGTTCATGTTAACATACTGCATATCTTAATGTTGTTTAAGCATAATGCCTCCAGATAACAGTCTCTAAGTTCAGAGGCAACCTGGAACCTATTGTGTGTCAAGTGCTCTGACACCGAAGATATCTGAGTACAATCAAGCACGTATTGTGATACTTCTTTATTTTGTTTATTCTAAATTATTCAAAAGTGATAGTTTTCAGCTTGCACAGCTGTTGATCAGGTGCTTTCTATTTAAGGTTGTGCTCTTCAGTCACTGATAAACTGAATACTGTAAATGTTGAGTAACAGCCCACCAGCACTTACAGCCTAGTTCAGTAGAGCATGTATGACAGCCATGATTGAGATGCTCTTGGATTTGCTTAAATTTTGTGTTCATTGACCATGGCTAGAAGTTAATTGAATCAAATAATTTATTTATTTTTTTTTAAATAGATTCTTGGTGTTGGCAAACTGCTTAGAACTTTTACTGGGTAATAAAATTGAAAATAACTTAAAATACTAGAAAATTTCCAGTGATCAGTGGTCTGATTTCAGCATTCAAGGATATGGGTGGGTTTCCGATACACTTTAATTTTGTAGTGTTTGTGGGATTATTTGGTAACCTGGATTTAATTTCTTTACCCATTTATTTCAATCATTTTGACTGACAGGAAAAGAATACAACCACTTCTGTTCAGGATGAGTTTATGCAGCTGTTGTTATGGGGCAAAGCAAGGTAGTTACTGTTGTTTTATCTGAGTATGCATTTGCATTTGATATTGAAATACAAAATGAACGCATATTTGGTTCTCTCCCCCACCCCCTTTAGTCTGGAACTTCAGGCATTGCTAATGAACCAACTGACAGTAAAGGTATGTTAATATTTTTTAACTTATTAAAATAATCTATTTCAATATCTTTTAATCACTGTTCTGTTAAGTTAACAGAACATTATTATATTTGTATTTCTTTTTTAACAGGGTTTAAAAAAACTCGGTCAGTCCATAGAGTCTTCCTATTCTAGCATACAAAAGTTGGTCATAAGTCATTTGCAGAGGTAAGTCACAGAATGTCCAATGAATTCTAGATAAAATGGCATATTTTATGCTTTGCTAAAAGACAGTGTGCTGTATCAGTGGTTCTTTCTATGTAGGTGTGCTGGTGCGGAGACCGTGATCATGGCAAAATGTAGTAATTTATTTCTGGGTAATGGAGAACTATTGAAGTATTTTGAACAATCTCAATGACACATCACCTGTATATTACTGCCTGGTGTGTTTGTAGGATATATGCAAAATATTCACACCAACTTTGTGTGGTGGTTAAAATCATTAGGACAATATTTGCTTTTCTGTGAAGTGATACTTTAACTCTTGTATGCCAGACAACCTTATAAAGCTCTCCACTTTGCACATTAGATAATAAAAATATAGCATGCAGTGAATTTCCGAAGGGTGACTAGAAGATTATACTTCTTTGCTCTGCCTTCCTAGTGGCTCTGAGGCACTGTTATACCACTTGAGCGAATTGAAAGGAATGGCTTTATGGAAACAAAAATATGAGTCTCTGGGATTAGATGCATCCGGAATTGAAGGTACAATAGTGTCTGTGCTACTTACCTACTCTGATTTCACTTTTGAAAGCTTAATAATAATGGTTAGCTCTTTTTGCAGAGGCTATTACTGCTGTTGGTTCTTTCATCCTGAAAGCAAATGAGCTGCTTCAGTAAGTATAAAGTCTGGAGAATTTAAAAATCATGTCTATTGAGTCCTTTATCTAAGGGGAAATATGTGGCTGGGTACAGAGGAAGTTAGGGAGAGCAAGGCTCCTCTGTTGGTGGTGAGCTTTTATCTTGTCTCGCTGCATCTCATAGACTCATACCCCAATAATAGTCTTACTTGGGAGGCTGCATTGGGCATTTTTAAAAAAATTGATAGTGCTTGCAGGCCTCTCAGTAGTAAAGATGGGACTTAAGCCTGGAGCAGCTTGTGATATTTAAATCTGGTAATTTCTTTTCTTGTTTCTTGCTCAGAGTTATCGACAGTAGTATGAAAAACTTCAAAGCATTTTTTCGATGGCTGTATGTTGGTAAGCTTGATGACATAGTAAGCATCCAGTATCTGTTTTGTGTTCTAAGCATTGAAATGTCAGTAGGTAATTAAGCCAATCTCAGTTATAACCATCTATTTATTTCTATAATAGAAAACTTCTGGACATCTAAAAGGTTACAGTTGATGAGGCAAGAATAACTATAATATTAAACACATAGATCATAAATTTGATCGTTCTCCATTAAAGGTAGTGTGTGTACAGTGGGTATTGTATATTCTTATCCTGTACTGTTACTCCAAACTGTTGTCTGCTTCATGAGCAATTTGCTGGTCTTGACTTGGAGAAATTAAAGGACTTTATTTAGTTTACACCAAATCTGAAGTATAGTCTAACTCTCCTTTACTCTGTCACTTGCTGTTTTCTCCTGTGGAGACCTAGTTAGCTGTAAGGTTGTGCACAGATGTAAACAGTCTCTGAATGTCCGGATGCACTTAATAACCACCTCCAATTGTAGCTGGGTAGCTGCAGGTAAAATGCTAGAAGGAAGTGCAGAACGCTATATTTTAGCCTGCTTGGTTTTAAAAAGTGGTTATGAATAGGTTTATAATTTTTAATTGATCTTTTTAGAACTACTTTACAAAAAACTAAGCAGTCTTACCGGATACTGTAAAAGCACCAGAAATACAGTGTTAGCAAT